TGTTGGGTAGTATTCCTTCTTTTTCTATATTTTGGAAAAGGTTGAGTAATAGAGATACTAGTTCCTCTTTAAAGGTTTGGTAGAATTCTGATGTGAAGCCATCTGGTCCTGGGCTTTTCTTTTTAGAGATTTTCAGAACTTGATATAGGCCTGTTCAACATTTCCACTTCATTCTGGTTAGGTCTAGGAAGGTGGCATGCTTCCAAGTATTGGTCTATTTCCTTTAAATTTTCGTATTTCTGAGAATAGAGTTTCTTGTAATATACATTAAGGATATTTTGAATTTCCAAGAAGAATGTTTTCTCTTTCTTGCCTTCTTTCAGATTTACAATTCCTATTTTTCTCTTCTTTTAGTTTAGGTAACACATAGTCTATCACAATTGTTGTGGTCACCACACAGATGACAAAGCTCATCTCTTGACTGAAAAGGAGCAAATGCATAGAACAGTTATGCTCCATTTACCTCCTTCCTCACTTAAGTGACATGTTGTCATGTATTTTAATTCTATATATCTAAAACACAAAGACATGATTAACTTTTACAGTCAATAATTACTGGCCTCTTCCACATACATACCCTTTCAGTCACTCTTCATTCCTTCCTGCAACTCTAACCTCTCCCCTGAGATCATTTTCCTTTAGCCAAAACAAACATGCCAAAAAAAAAAAAAAAATCCTTAACACTTCCTTTAGTGTGAGTCTGCTGGCAAAAACATGGTTTTCATTTACATGAAAGTGCCTTTTATTTACACTTTATTTCTGAAGGATCTTTCTGCCACATAAAGATTCTGGGTTAGTGCTTACTTTCTTTGAGCACTGACATTTCAAGCGACTTCTATTTTCCACTGTTTCTGTTAAGAACAAGCTGTCAGTCTATCCATTGCTCTCCAGCATATGGGGCCAGTGCCCTACTCATTGAGTCACAGGCACCGCCTATCCATTGCTCTTTTGAGGGCAATCTGTATCTTGCTATTTTTAAGACTCCCTTCATTGGTCAGCACCTGTGGCTCAAAGATGTAGGGCACCAGCCCCATATACCAGAGGTGGCAGCTTCAAACCCAGCCCTGGCTAAAAATTGCAAAAAAACAAAAAAAGGACTCCCTTCATTAATGGTTTTCAACAGTTTTATAGGCAAGGGTCAGTTAATGTCCTGAGAAATGTGTCACTAGATGATTTTGTCACTGTGTGAATGCAGAATGCACTTACACAAGCCTTGGTGGTCTAGCCTCTACACACCCAGGCTGTATGGTATATACTGCTAAGTACAACTTGTATGACGTGTTACTGAACTGAACTCTGTAGGCAATTATAACTCAATGAATGATAAAGTCTGTGTATCTACACATATCTCATCATAGATAAGTATGTTAGAAATATGGTATAAAAGATTAAAATGGTACACCTGTACAGAGCACTTACCAAACTGGAGCTTGGAGGCCTGGAAGCTGCCCTGGGTAAATGAGTGAGTGCAGGGAGAGTGAGCGTGAAGGCCTCAGGTGTTACTGCAGACTGCTACACACTTTATAAACACTGGACCCTTGGCCTACACTAAATATATAAAATTTATTTTAAAATTCTTTTTCTTTCTTCAACAATAAATTAATCTTAGCTTACTGTAACTTACTTTATAAGTGATTTAATTTTTCTGGCTTTTTGACTCTTCTGTAATAACAATTAGCTTAAAACACAAGCACGTACAGCAGAACGAAAGTATTTTTTCTTTATACCTTATTCTATAAGCTTTTTTCTATTAAGAAAAAAAAATTTTTTTTTTTACTTTTTGAACATTTTATTACAATTAACACACAAACACACACACACACACACATAAGCCGAGTCCTACACAGGACCATCAATATCATTTCCACATCTGGTCCCACTGGAAGGTCTCAGGGGCAGTAACAATTACGGATCTGTCAGTGCCTATAATAATAATAATGCCTTCTTCTAGAATAGTTCCGAAAGGACCTAGTTGAGGCTGTTTTATCATTAACTTTTTTTTGTAAGTAGATGGAACATACAATACAACATATAATATTGGCCAGGTCCTCACGCCTGTAATCGTAGCACTCTGGGAGGCTCGGGAAGGAGCATCCCTGGAGCTTAGGAGTTCAAGACCAGCCTGAGCAAGAACAAGACCCCATTTCTACCAAAATTAAGAGAAAATTAGCTGGGTGTTGTGGTGGGTGCTCGTAATCCCAGCTACTTGGCAAGCTGAGGCAGGATTGCTGGAACCCAGGAATTTGAGGTTGCTATGAGCAACACTGAGCAAAAAAACAAGAGCAACACTGTCTCAAAAAAAAAAAAAAAAAAAGTAGTAGTAGTATAGCAAATATATAAATCAGTAATATAGCTGTTCTTTTTTTTGTTTTGTTTTGTTTTTTTTAGTTTTTGGCTGGGCCAGGTTTGAACCCACCACCTCTGGTATATGGGGCCAGCGCCCTACTCCTTGAGCCACAGGTACTGTCCTATAGCTGTTCATTTTCAATATCAATATTATGTACTGTACAAAATCATAAACATCCTGGTGTTTCTTCAGATTGCATTTCAGATTACATAAATCTTCCGCCTTTTACAAAATCCTAAGTGCTAAACTTTTATACAACTGGCAATGCAGTACGTGGTTACCACAGCATCACCACAACCTGTGAGTAGCGCGTTGCACTAAGGCAGCTACGACATTCCCAGGCAACGGAATGTTTCAGCTTCATCATGATCTCATGGGACCTCCACCACACAGGTGCCAGGTCATTGACTAAAATTTAGTTAAGTGGTACGTGACTTTTATGAAGGGACCAGATGTAGTTTTGTTTGTGTTCACGGGGCTATGGAATCTGTGGGTGGTTATCTTTTTCTTTTTAGCTGTAGGAAATTTTCAGGCATTATCTTTTCAAATATTTTGTCCACTCAATTTTCTCTCTCCTCTCCTCTAACAACTAAACACAAGTCAGACCTTACTACACCTGTCTCCTACCATCTCTAAGTTTTTCTATTCTTTCATGTCTCCAGGTTTCCTTGCCCACATTTTCTCTTAGGCTATCAACTGTGTCAAATTTTTCAGTGTGTGTCTAATCTGCCCTTCTTCTGATTTCCTTAATTTTGACTATTAACATTTTTCAGTTTTAGAGTTTTCATTTGCAGGTGGGCACAGTGGCTCACACCTATAATCCTAGCAGTCTGGGAGGCTGAGGTGGGTGGACTGCTTGAGCTCAGGAACTTGAGACCAGTCTGAGCAAGACTGAGACTGCATCTCTACAAAAAACAGAAAAATTAGCCAGACATGGTGGGATGTACCTATAGAACCAGCAACTCGGGAGGCTGAGGCAGGAGAATCCCATGGGACCAGGAGTGTGAGGTTGTGGTAAGCTATAATGATCATGAGCTCAAGCCCTTGCTGATCTGTCTTTAAGTCTGTTGTTTCCGTGAGTTTTAATTCACGTGCCTTGCTTTCCTGTGTGTCTATTTTTTTTTACTGTAGCACAACCCCGAATTTATAAACTGGCTTGTGGAAGTAATTTGCAGCCTCAGATGATAGAGAAGATTAAAGTTTGCTTCTGTTAGGAACCTGAAGATAACAGTACTCTGGGATTATTTTAATCTAATTTTAGAGAAGGGAGATGATTTGAAGCAGAGCTGCAGTCCTTCCAAAGTCTTACTTTTAGCTCATCCCCACTCCTTGGAAGTGGCTTTTGGGGACTGCAACCCAAATTGGGGGAAAGGGGGTAAGGGGGAGGTATCACCCAGGATTGCTGTCCTTTGGCAGAACGCGATAGATACCTCAGCCTTCCAAAGCATTCTGACTCACAGAGCTCAGCCTCTGAGCGGCCAGTACACAGCCCTGTGATGGTCTCCTTCCTGCAGGGGCCCCAATCAAGTACCACAAACTTCATAGCTTAAAACAACAAAAATTTATTGTCTCAGTTCTGGAGGCTAAAAGTGTGGAATCAAGGGGTCAGCAGGGGCACACTAAGGCTCTAGGACAGGGTCCATCCTTTCCCTCTTCCAGCTTCTAGTGGTCCCCGACAGGGCCTGGTCTGCGACTCTGTAACTCCAATCTCTGACTCTGTTTTCACATGACCTTTTTCTGGGTCTCTATCCAAATCCCCCTCCTGTTTCTCTTATAAGGACACCAGACATTAGATTTAGAATTCATCCTAAATTCAGAATGATTTCATCTCAAGATTTTTAATTAAATATATCTGTAAAGACCCTATTTCCCAATTAAGTCAGACATATTAATATTACAAAGTTCCAGGTAGACTAGATTTTGGAAAAACACTAAGCCCCCTACAGGCCCCACTACTGATTCCATGGTCAAAAGCAGCTCCAAACGTTGCACTCACTTCCACAGACCTTCATCCTATCCAGACTCTAGTCCTGTAATTCAACATCATCTAATTAGCTGACTGTGCTAGGCACAATGGCTCCTCAGAGGCAGAAGTTGTTCTTTGCTACTCAACTTCCAGATCTCAGCCTATAGTCTCTTCCTCAAGAAGCCCTTTCCACACCTCTCTGCTATCAGAGCAAGTTCATCTATGTCCTCTCAAAGCACTCTGGCCCTCTCCTGATGAGTGCCCATCTACATCGCAACTTTACACTAACTAGGTGATTATTTTATTAACGTCTTCTAGACTGTCTCTGGGAGTCTATTCTATTGTTGTTCAGTAAGGTAGCACAACACTGAACAATGTTAAGACCTCAAATACTTGCTGAGTCAAACTGAATTAGTGAAATAAGAAAAACAACACCTACCCCATGGTAGTCCCACTAGTATTCAATAAATTAACAGTTTCTTTATAAGCTGTGTGTTGCTAATTTTCAGCTAGATTTGTTTTTATTTGCTCTTCTGGATGCCAGAAAAGGAGACTCACCCAGACCAGTCTGAGCTGGAGAAGATGGGGCCAGGGGAATGACTACTATTTGAGATACAAAAAGTAAACAATCTGAAAGACAAAAATAATCAGAAGCAACCATTTAGTGATGACATCCTGTGTATCAGGTACTATGTCCAGCGTTCTACAGAGATCTCATTTAACTCCATGAGTTGTCATCATCGTTCCTATTTCATAGATAAGAGAATTAATATTATCATTTGCATTTTGCAAATGTGAAAACTGAGGCTCAGGAACACACAGCTAACATCGTCATTACAACTGACCCAAGAGCTAATATATTCCCTGATTACTGATGAGGAAACCAAGTCCCAAGAGAGGTTAGAAACATATCCATGATTCCACGGTTCATAAGTAAAAGAGAAGGGTCTGAAACAACTTCATCTGAGACCAAAGTTTAGGCTGTGAAATCCTATCATGTACTAGCATTAAAAACCTTTACACTACTTCGCATTTACTAGGCTGGGTATAATCAAAAAGAAAGATAATAGGGCGGCACCTGTGGCTCAAAGGAGTAGGGTGCTAGCCCCATATGCTGGACGTGATGGGTTCAAACCCAGCCCCAGCCAAAAACTGAAAAAAAAAGAAAGATAATAACAACCACTGGCAAGGATGTGGAGAAAATGGAAGCCTCTTCATACACTGCTAGGAACGTAAAATGGTGTGGCAGCTTTGGAGAACACTGCGGCCGTTCCTCAAAAAGTTAAACACCATGTTATCACATGGCCCGTCAATTCTACTTCTAGGTGTACACCCAAGACAAATGAAACATATGTCCACACAAAAACACGTGCATGGGTGTTTACAGTGGCAATATTCAGAATAGCCAAAAAGTAGAAATAACCCAAATGTGCATCAATTGATAAAGGTAAATAAAAGGGACCATATCCATATAATGGAATATTACCTAGCAATAAAAAAGGAATTAAGCAGCAATACATCCTGCAACATAGATAAACCTTCTTATAAACACCAAGCTAAGTGAAAGAAGCCAGACACAAAAGACCACATGGTGTATGAGTCCATTTGTATAAAAGACCTGACTCAGCACATACACAGAGGCAGAAAGCAGACCAGTGGTTGAGTAAGGCTGAGGGAGTTGGGAGGAAACAGGGTGATGAAAATGTTCCAAAATTGATTGTGGTCATGACTGCACCACTGTGAATAGAATAAAAAACCACTGAACTATAAACTCTAACTGAGTGAGCTGTATGCTATGTAAATTGTATCTCATAAAGCTGAGAGATGTAAGTTTTTTACAACTTAAACCTTTTACCTAATTTCTATTAATCTTAATTTCACAATGAAAACAAAATAACCTGTTTAAATTTGAAATCAGGCACTCTGGGAAGCCGAGGCAGGTGGACTGCCTGAGCTCACGGGCTTGAGACCAGTCTGAGCCAAGAGCAAGACCCTGCCTCGAAAAATAGCCAGGTGTTGTGGTGGGCGCCTATAGTCCCAGGTACTTGGGAGGCTGAGGCAAGGGAATCACTTGAGCCCAGGAGTTTGAGGCTGCTGTCAGCTGTGACACCATGACACTCTACCAAAGGTGACAAAGTGAGACTGTCTCAAAAAAATTAATTTGAAATCAGGAATACAAACAATTTCATGCACATATCCAAAATAATGTTGACTTTTCAGAAACTTAAATAAATTAAACTCTATCTTTTTAGGTGGGGCGGGGGGGGACAAAGTCTCACTGTTGCCCTGGCTAGAGTGCAGTGGCACCACTATAGCTCACCGAAAGCCCATGCTCCTAGGTTCAAGCAAGTGATCCTCCTACCTCAGCCTCCCACTGCAACTACAGGTGCATGCCACCACACCTGTCTAATTTTACTTTTCTATTTTTTCTATTTTGCTCAGTGTCAGCTTAAGCAATCCTTCTACCCCCACTTTCTGCAGTGCTAGGACTAGGTACAAGCCACAGCACCTGGCCTAAACTCTATCTTAACTGATAGCCTCACAAAATTACACTGTTCTTTACTCAAATTTCAAAATACCTTGTGATGTGCTAGTAAATTTACTTGTCAGTATATATAAGCTCCGTTTTCTTTTTTCCATTCTAGTTACATAGTCCTATAGAGACATTACTGTGTACCATGGCAAAGAAAGACAAATGAAGTAATGCGTTTGCCAGATAGTTTCTTTTCTTTCTTTTTTTTTTTTTGAAACAGAGTCTCACTAAGTCATCCTGGGTAGAGTCCATGGTGTCACAGCTCACAGCAACCTCAAACCCTTGGGCTTAAGTAATTCTCTTGCCTCAGCCTCCCAAGTAGCTGGGACTACAGGTGCCCACCACAACACCCAGCTATGTTTTTGTGGTAGTTGTCATTATTGTTTGGCAGGCCCAGACTGGATTCAAACCCAGCAACTCCAGTGTTCATGGCTGGCACCCTAGCCACTTGAGCTATAGGCGCCGAGTCTGGGGACGGTTTTTAACAAATTCAAACATGGAGATATCAGACATGCATGAAATGCTAAACTAATTGATTGCCATACTGAATCTATACACATCAAATTTTTAACATGCTAAAGACTTAGGGGAACATTCTTTCGAAGTCCTACAACCTAAAGATGTATTGGGATTTTTTAAGCTTTTCTTTACACATGCATATGTCATGAGGTCTTGTTTCTCAAAGTGTGGTCCATGGACAAGGAGTAGCAGCAGCAGCATCTCCTGGGAGCTTGTTAGAAAATGCACATCCTAAGGCTCCACCCCAGGCCAAAATCAGCCAGAATCATCCTTTTCACAAGACCCCCAGAGGACATGTCTGCACATTAAAATATGAGAAGCACTGTCATAAAATATTCTGCCCCTTTTTTCTTCATTCAGACAGCTCTAGCTTGCAAAAGACTAATGTTTTTAATACTTGACATGCATACAGCTCTGGTCCCAGACCAGCTTGTCCTCAGATCCATTCTTTGTTCTTCTGCTCTATTCCAAATTGTGAAGGGGGTGACCCCTGCAGGCCAGGTTTCCCAGGCAGGAGGGGAAAAGAACTCATGTAGCTCCTGCTACAGCAGCTGTGCCCTCCCAAAGCTCCAGCCCCCACCAGACAGAGCCCCTGTTCCTGCACTCTGGCGGGTGATGGCTGCCCCTGCAATCTGATCAGCCCTCTCCTATAACTGCTTTCACGCTCCAGCCCAGGGGTGGCAGTGGTTTCCTTCTTGCTATTTCATCTCCAGCTCACCTCACTGCCTGCAGCTTGCCTCCCAGTTCTTTCCATCACCTGTGCGACCACTTCCCTACATCAGATTTGTTTTAAATATTTAAAATGAGTTCTGTTTTTCCTTTTGGACCCAGACTGATAACCCATATGTCATTCTGGATATTTCTATTATGTACCACATAAATCAAAATTATGAATGGTTTATCTGCTTTAAAAAAAAAAAAAAA